TGGGTGTTCATGGACTTCCTCGATAATGTGTGGGACGTCTGGGGCTAATGTACGAGCTTGCGTGTATTGTTTCGTGGTTGTTTTCCGTTGGTGACGAGGATGTTGAGGGTGTCGACATTCGTAGTCCCTGTGGATCGGGTGAGGTATGCCTCTGTTTTGATGGAGCTTGCATGGGTTCGAGATACGATGTGGCACTCGACGAAAGGAGGGGGCTGTTCGCCATGTGTCTTGGCTCGCGCTTGTAGTTATGATAGGCGAAAATCCTTGTGTCGTACTGGTGGGTTTTGGAAGGAGGTGTAGGAAGTTATGCGGTTGAATTTGTGTACGAAATCCTTGACATCGTGGGGATCTAGTGAGATAAGTTGGACACCTACTGTAGATGTGACTGGATTGAAGCGTAGTCCGTCAATGAGAAATTCTACAGGTGTTCTTGGGTCTGATATAGAGGGGTAGCGTGCCGCTATCATTTTGGTTCTGATTGTTTCATGGGCTGTGATGTATTGAGAGAGTGTCATGTCAGGTAGAAATACGGTTTGTTCCGCGAGTTGCTTCAGGTACTTGTGATCGGAAGTGTTCGTGGTGTCAAGGTGTGCAGTAATTGCTGTTATGAGTTCGTAGGGTGTAGGGTCGCTGGTCAGTGTGATGATTAAGTTGGCAATCTCGGGTGGGATAGATGATATGATTTTGCCGATGAGATAGTGTTTGTTGCGCCGAAATTCTGCCTGTTGGTTTGGATCTTGGGGTACTTCGGGATTGCCGATGATGTGGTTTATGCAGTCGATGGTGTGAGCTGCGGCGCGAATTGCTACGAGCCATGGGCCGTAGTTGGCTGTGTCGAGTTTGGGAACGTCTGAGCGTTTATCCATGTTGCTGAGGGCTGGCTGGAGCCGGGGAGGTGGGAAGTATGTCAGTAGTGCGGTGAGATGTGAGGGAGGAGGGAGGAGCCTTCGATGGCGGAGGGATCGGGTGTGTGACGTCGTGTTAGGGAGTGGTTAGCGAGTGTTGCCCATAACCTGTGTGAACATGAGACCGATGTCCTTTATTTCCTCGTCGTCGCTCTGTGCGCCTACCTATATTCGTACACTCAGGACAGTCTGTCCTGTGCGGTCTGACACCCCTCACACCCCGTTCCCCTCATAAGGAGAAGTGAACACGTGTACTTTACAGAAAAAGTGAACACGTGTAATAACGAGTCCCCTTTTTTCTTGCTTACACCTAGACTAACGTCTACAAACTAACGTCTAGGTACTGACGCAATCAAATTTTGAAGCTGATTCTTTGGAGAAGATTTGCAAATTGAAATGGGAAGCCTAAAATGAATTCTTCTTTAAATTATTGTTAGATGGCCCAAATATAGCCATTGAGAAGGGTACTCGAAACGCAATAGAGCATAGTACAAGGCGCGAAATTTGCATAAATACACCCCACATCATTGCGATAAAAGCACTTTTGACACTGCCTCGAGAAGCCGATAGGGCATGAACCATGGTACGCGCGTGCGTGAGCGCAAATCTGAAGCCCAATTCTACCAAACTAAAAAGCACTCCAAGTTATCCCACAAAAGGTGGGCGAAATTAGCATATGAACACGAAAAACCATATGGTACAGTAACTTGCAATGTTTATTGTGAAGCGCTAATACTTCGTACGGCCACCTTTCTTCTCTAGTACCTCCACAAGGCGCCGAGGAATTGATTCGTAGAGCTTATTTAGGTACTCCTCGGAACTAGAACTCCAACAATCTATGATTCTATCAGCGAGGTCTTTTAGGTTGCAAAACTGACGCCCATGCCTGTAAACACGGCGGGCAAGCAAGCCCCATACAATTTCGATTATGTTCAAGTCTGGTGACTTCGCTAGCCACCCCAACCACTTGACATTTTTCGACGAAAGCCAATTCTTGGTGTAGTTTGATCGATGACAGGATGCCCCGTTTTGCTGAAATGTCCATTCTTCACCGAATGTGTCAGCAGCGAATGGTAGCCGGTCCTCTTCCAGTACCTCACAGTAGAGCGTACAGTCTATGTTACCGTCAACACGGACCAGATGAGATGGACCATAGCAAGAAATAGCTCCCCACAGCATCAAAGATTCTCCCTGGTGCCTCGTCGAAAAGACTTGTTCCTTTCGCCTCAAGTCGTGCCAATAGCATGCCAACCCATCTGGCCCATCTAGGTTGAACTTTTTCTCGTCCGAAAAGATTACCCCGCGCCAAAATGCGTTTCTGTTCTCCAGCATCTTTTTGCTCCATTCCAGTCTGGCACTCTTGTGCCTCTGGAGCATCTGCGGACGCAACAGCATTTTCTTGTACTTAAAATGCGGTGCGTCACGTAGTATTTGCTGAATGCGACGGACGCCCACATCAATTTCAAGGCTCACCTTCAGCTCCCGGCATGATTTTTCTCCCTTACTGGCATCTCGCAGCAAAAGCTGCGTTTGCTTCTTAGAAATTTTTGTTGCGTTGCGAGTGCTTTTGCGTCCGTCAACCCGCTTTGGGTGATTCAAAAAGTTGTGTACAGCACCTGGGGACCTGCTGAGCGTGCGAGCGATCTCGCAAACGCTCAAACACTCCTGTTTCATGGCCACAATCTGCCCCTTCTCGAAGTCTGACAGTAGCTTTCTGCGAGGCATTTTTCCTTGCGATGCGAAGTTTTTTAGGTACACACAATGTGCATTGCTTATGTATCTAACTATACCAGTCACCAAAATTGTTATTCTTTCGGTTTACCGCCAACTTGGCATGGCAGTAAATGCTGTATCGTATGGTTTTTCGTGTTCATATGCTAATTTCGCCCACATTTTGCGGCATAACTTGGAGGGCTTTTTTGTTTGACAGAATTGGGCTTCAGATTCGCGCTCACGCACGCGCGTACCATGGGTGATGCCCTATCGGCTTCTCGAGGCAGTGTCAAAAATTGCTTTTATCGCAATGATGTGGGGTGTATTTATGCAAATTTCGCGCACTGTACAACAAAGTTTGTTACAACAAAGTTTGTTGTACTATGCTCTATTTGTTGAACAAACTGCGCGCAGCTGCCGTGTAGTATTCATTTCAAAACAATATAACTACGGCAGCGGTAGACGCGAGCGGCTGCCGACGTGCCAACAATAAATGGCACTCCGCTCCGTCCGTCGCCCCCACAGCACCCGCCACATGTTGCGCCCACCCTGCCTCGCCCGCGCCCCGCTTCCAACCCCGCACACATGCCGCGCGAATGCTCCGCCACGCCCACCTGAGCCCCCTTCACACGCTCCCTCACCTACAGTACAATCACCTCCTCCCGACTCGCCAGTCGGCATACACCCGCCACCAAATTCATGCCCAAACCCGCCTCAAGTTCGCCGCTACCTCAACTCGCAACCCTCGTGCGTGCTTTCCACCTTGTGCCGTGCCCTGCCCCTCGCCCCATCTCGCCGCCCGCGTGTCATCCGCAGCGCCCCCCCATTTCTCGCCCGCCCGCCCTGAATATACGAGGCATCGCTCCTTCAACACACTCTGCGGTTTCCGAAGCGCGCTCACACAGCAAGCTTGAAGGCCATCATTCTCAAGAGCGAAAGCAAGGTTTCGTGGCAACAAGTGCTGGTATTCGATTGCTCGATGGGATAGAAAAGTTCGGTGCTCACAATGATCATAGTCTGCGTCGTACTACAGTGCAGACAACTGCTCTGTCGTGCCAATAGCCTTGTGGTAACGGTTTTCTCGAAGAAATGATGCATTAATACTACTCTTTCCAGCATGGAATTATTTGCCTCTCGAATAATCCGCCTCATAGATATACAGTAGCAAGTAGTCGGTTCTAGTTTGAGCGTATATTGTGAAGATGGTTTTCGCGTTTATAAAGTTCTAGGAGAAAATGGGACGCACGCAAAGACAATCTAACATTGACCGGGTACGCTTCACAAGAAAGTGTTTAGCTTATAGAATCCTCTCTCAAGTACACCATTCTGCAGTGCAGAAGAATAAAAACACTACGAAACCATGCAATAGTAAACCTATCTCGGTCTTCATTCAAATAGCCTCTCTCAGACATTGAAATTACGCCCGTGTTTCGAGGTCTATGGTGAGAAACCCAATTTGACGTTTGCTGCTGGGGCCATCTTTTTCTTGAAGCTATTCAGACTTTCCCAGCTTCTTTTTTCCATGACGACCAGCCGCGTTGTGAGTCATACAGCAGCGTGACACCGAAGGAGATGTTCTTGTGACATTGCTTTTGCAATTGCTGCCAGTGAGGAAGGGGCTCGCTGAAAGAAACCTTGCTGTTCACAGCCTCCAGATGCCATCCATCAGTCGAAGGTGCGACTTTTATGGGCCTTGACATGTAACATACAGCGGGGCTTGTGCCGTGATATCGAGACTCGATGAAGTTCTTTAAAGAAGCACTACAATGCAGTACACGTGAATGGCATTCTAGCCCAATGGAGTCTCGCTTATCCAGTGCGATGGAGAGAAGCAATTATTCAGCACAAAGTGTCTTCGCTCAATGTTCCTTGTGAAGCGAGAGAAAATGACTTATGGCAATGAGAAATGACTTATCGTGGGTCTCATGCTCAAGCATCCCTCCTTATGGGGACAGGGTTGTTCTGGGGATGAATTGGTACAGTAAGTCCCTATAGAAACGTGCAGAGCTACTTACACACTTCAGTAACCTGTCGAACGTAGGAGGTAACCATACAAGCGTGTAGCCGCTGTCTTCTTCTACAACAGTGCGGTAACATCCCGGATATTGCTTAGACCGCTGGCCCCTCAGAGAATGGGCTTATTAATCGCTCTACCGTTTCGAGCGAGGTGTCAAACTTGAACTTGCCGATATGATCTAGAAATATAGTTAGGAGGTGCTCAACCCGTGCCACTGAAAGGGACATGTGGGTTGCTTGTGAGCGACAACGGTTTTCACTCTTGGAAAGGATTATATCTTGATCCCCATTACCCTTGCAATTAAAGTAGTGGGAGCAGCACCTCTGACTTGTTGCAGGGGTTTCGACTGAGAAGTCTCGGAAGATATGAAAAGACTTCGCAGACGCCTTCGTCCTCATCAAGGGATATAAAGGAGACTCAAACGACCACCACATCCTCCTATTCTCGCATCAACAAAGCAATACATTCCAACGGAAGTTCGCCAACCGCCTTTGTTATCATTTACTGCATCATCAGGATTCGTCGATATGGACTTTGATAGAGCAGTTTACTTCCTCTTCGCCACGGCGATAATTGCTCTCTTCTCGGCAGCACAGGCTGGGAGCAGTGTTTGCAGTGGCACCCAAGGTGGAAATGAGTACATGTGTGTAGATTGGTCCTTCGGCTCTGAACTGATGGCCTTCAAACAGTATCAATACAAGCAACAGACGGGTCAGGATGTGTTATTTGGTGTTGGATCGTACGGTGCTCAGAACAATTTCAACATTGGAAAATGCTACAAGTTCAACCTCAATCCATCTACAAAGCCAATCATCGCACAGGTAACCAACTGGGGGGCTGACATTAGTAGCAACCAGTTCGATATGGTAAGTTGATCGTTTCTCATACTGGTGGCAAAGGTGTTGAGCATTTCTGATGAATCTGACGTACTTTATTCCCTGGCTCCAATATTCTCTGAGAACGCAGCAAATGGGTGGGGGAGGGTTCGGGGTCTGGAATGCATGCTCAGGACCGACCGATAAAACGGCCAGCGATAATCGCCCATGCAACACGAATGACTATCTGGATATTGCAGTTAGACCGCAGTTCGTTAGCGGCAAGTCTGAGTGGGGCCGGAGATGCAGAGGCCATATCTACCGAACAGGTTGCAGATCACTACCAAAATGGCCGGCCACTCTCGATTATAGGCCAAGGCCTGCAGGATCTTCCACGAATGAGCCCAATCTGCGCACTCTTTGCAAACGTTCGTTTGACTGGGGTGCGAGAATTAACAACGGGAACAAGCAGATCACAGGAGGTCAACGCGTTCCTTGCCCTCAGCAGCTTGTTGAGATTACCAACCTGAAGCGCAGAGATGATAGTAGATATGAACAGATGCCTCGTGGAACGCTCACCAGTACCATGGATTGCTGCTCGCCTGCATCAGCATACCCGTGCGTTACTATGGGCAACAAACTCTTACCGAATCGCAACAGGATCCGTCCTTGTACAAGGGATGGCTACACTCGCGTGTAGACTTGTGCTCTCCTGCATGCCGAGCAACATGTAGGGTTGTCTCCTGGCTACGAGTGCGGACACGCTCCGAGTGCAGATATGTGCCCCGAGGCTTGCCTAGGACATTGTGATAAAAGGGAGTGCCCCCTGGCCAGGAGACAGGTGGAGAGGGATGTGCGCCGTATGTATAAAACATCGCCCTGAGGGCTATCTACTCGGTTCTAACTTTAGAAAAAAGAATTGAAACCAGTCATTCTACCAAAGAAAAATAGAAACAGTCGCCATCAAAGTTGAAAAGAAATCAAATTCGCAGGATTTTCTTGTTATGATATCGCTTGGTCCAATAGACGGGGTGCGGGGAACCGTTCCTGTGCACACGCTTCTGTAAGCGACTTCGCATTTTGGGGACTACTGTACAGCGCTCACTCCCAATAGACACTAGACCTCATCGTTTTTCGGGGTTGACATTGGTGGTAATAATGTCCACTGTTTCCAAATGTCAATTGCCAAAAGAGGTGCCTTGTGCGATTTCTTGCTCTGTTTGTCTTCTTTCTGTGTTCTGCGCCATTTTAGAGATCGCAACCCGGCGAGTATTGATACTAGCAGGCGTTCATCAAGCATTAAGAATTGATTTATTCGGGTTTTGAAAGTACAAACATTTTTAACAAACATTGCAGTCAAACAGTACCGCTTGAATCTCCGTAAGCATATGTAAGAAAACTGACGTGCGTGGTGGCAATGATTCCGCGCAGATGACAGCATTGACAGCATTGAGAGAGAGTCCCTTCCGTCTCGCTGTATTCAAGTGAAGCTTAGTCGTGGATGACTAGCTTGGGCAGATGACGTCGCATACATGTTTTTAGATATGTATCGGAGGCCGATGCTGCACTGCACAGCGATTTATGTCCTCGTGTGGAATGTATATATGTTGGTTACACTCAGAAATGGGGCATCTTGTACAAAGGGTAGCCGTACTCATTTGAGCCTCACTGCGTGACACATATTTCTCCCGTTATGTGCATTTCAACGTTCACGCAACCGAGCTTAATCATCTGTTGGTGTACATGACCTTCGCTTGACGCCATATGAAGTCAACTGCTTTTGCATCAGCGCCCTCATCTGCGGCCAGTTTTCACCAAGGCACTTGGGCCAATCCGCTCGAGCATTCTATCCTTATGGGGTGTGTTGGAGCACGGAGCCTTAAAACGAATCCAACCACAATGCTCCGAAACGTGTACTTTATGGGAGATTACTACAAATTGTGGGACATGTTGACATCTAAATGTGTCAGCAAGAGTGTTTCTATCCTGTCGGTACCAGCACTCTCACTCAACAATCATATATTCTTCACTGTTGATGCGCTCGAAATCACGTGCAAGGCTCTTCATGTCAGTATTGCTGATAACAAGCACAAGAGCAATATCACGCATGCTTGTAGGTGTGCTCAGGCGCTTGCCCGGTACCGCCCTCCAAGACACAGAGGATATGGTTGAATCCAACTTGGGAATTTGCATTCTTTTCACTACCCCGGCCTTGGGCGGATGTATCGAATACGCTGCGTAGCGCCTCATCTCGGTGCTCTTGAATTTGTGCAGTGGAGTCTTATGTCCCATTTGCATGAGTAGACTGGTCTCCTCGAGTGCAACGCCGGAACACTCCTCGATAACCTTACCCACAGCGCCTCCTGCAGCACGAGCAGCGACTTCCATGAGCACCGGCTGCGCGGTGCCACTCTCCAAAAAGAAATCAATGTTGAAAACGCCATAGTCCTCGCAGTAGTCCCGCAGCTGATACAGCACGGCTTCCGAAAATTCCTCAAGCTTGGCGTACAGGGCGTCCGTCGGGGGCACGATAATGTTTCCAAGCTGGTGGCCTTGTAGGTATTCGTCGTTGGGGCGGTTGTGACGCATGGCGAAGAAAAGGCTGCTTCGTCCATCCACACGGACAACGCTTGTGTTGAACAGCTCTCCCGCAATGCGCTCGTCAATCTCAAAAATCGAGTCCGAGCATACGTTTGCCTCGCACCACTGCAAAAGTTGGACGCTCCCATCCAGGCGCCAGGTTTTTTCGCTGCCCGCACCGACCACGGGCTTGATGAAGAGCTTGTGTCCTACAGTATCCATTACTTCTCGGACATATCCGTCCGGGTCAGAGCGAAATTTCTCAGGACTGAATACCACGTAGTTGGGGATGCGCACGGGTCCATTCTGTCCAATGGCCTTCTTGGTGGCATTCTTATCGAAGAAGGGCAGCATAGAATGAGAACTAGCCCCAGGGATTCCCAAGGCATCGCGGACTTGTCCAGACAACAGGATTGAGTACTCATCGTTGGTTGCAATTCGGCATTTGTCCGGACGAAGTGCGCATGAGGAAAGAATTTCACTGACTGTTGCGACAAGAGGTTTCAGCGCGTACAAGTCGACGACACGGATCAAATCAAAATGGATAAACTCATGGGCAGGGACCTTTGCCACCCCACGCCGACTAGAAATCAAGACTAAGTTATGCTTCATGAATCGAATCTTTTCAATTTGCGCCCTGAAAGGCAGCATGTCGTGCAGTAGAAACGTAGTTGGACGGCTGGCGTCCAGCTTTTGTGAGATATTGTCAATATGGGGCGTATCATGAAACATTTCTTGCACAAGACTGACGACCTTTTCAGCACAACCCCAAGACAGGGTGACGCCAGCACCACCATGGCCGTAGTTGAGCACGACATTGGTGCCAGGAATGCGGTCGAGAAGGACGTTCTTATCAGTGAAAGGACGAAGTCCGGTGCGGACATGTTCCTTGGGATCAAGCTCAAGGGGCCTGAGAGCTGGAAGAAGATCAAGACAACCCTTGTACATCTGGTCTATGATCGGGTCGTCGAGGGAGAGATCCTTGTCCCATTGATTCGGCTGAGCCAGTCCTCCGAGAACGACGTGGTCCTTCCCTCGAGGAACAATGAACACGATGTCTTGTTCTGAACTGGAGCCCTCCTCGTGGCTGATGCAGTGAGCCGCCCTAATAGCTCCGTTAGGTTGTTTAACCCGAACAAGGGCTCCCCGCAGAGGATACATGTGAGTGTCACCAACGATGTCGATGGCCCCAAGACCAGGAGATACGACGATAGCGTCGGCCTTGTAGCGCTTGCGGAGTGTGTCCTCCTCTAGAAGCACATGACTGTCGATGCGCTCTTGCAACAATATGCAGCCCTTATCCCTAGCCTGCTGCTGCAACCACGGCATGTATTTGTCCGTGTCAACCATGGGCGCCATGTGTTTGTAGCAGTCCTTGATGTTGTTTTCCACGAATTGTGGATCAACGCCCTCTGGGACGATGTGCATACCTCTTGCAAAGCCATCAACCTTGTCCTTGAGCTCGTTCATCTTCTTGAGATTGAAGCAACACTTGTCCACAGAAAAACGAAAGTAGAAGAAGACATCTTGCAGGTAGACACCGCATTCACCCTCTCCATAAGTTGAATGCAACTCTTTGAACTTGTCGTAGCTGACCATACACCAGTGCTTGGAGGATGATAGCGAGCGAGGGTCTCCATGCTGACCGCAAACAGCTGGGGGCCATTCCCAGAGAGCACCCGCTACGTTCGATGTGATGTTTTCGTAGTGCTCAGCAACTACGGTTACGTCAAAACCTGCTTCACGCAGACCGATGGCGGAGGTGATCCCGACGACTCCGCCGCCGATCACAAGAACGCGACGGGCCCTCCCATTGGGCGGGCGGGTTGCAATTTCGATTTGACTCAATGTCATCTTAGCGAAAACGCGTTGGCTTGATGCCCTTTGTACTGCACAATTTGAAGGGTTCTGTTTGGAATACTTGTGCACGTGGGAAGGTGAGTAGCAGAATGCTGTCTCGAATAATATAGACATCATGGATCGCGGAGGCTGGTTTTATAGTGTCGTAGAGTGTTTCCCTGGAAGCAATTATGGTGTAGTTCTAAGCTCGAAGAAGAGGGATCTGTATGAGAAAAGGAAAATAGAGGAATCAAGAGGGATGTGCATGGGGTCTCAATGAGTCACTCTTGATATTTTGACATGGCCTGTGAAAGACAAAGTGGAGATGTGGAGTGCAAGGGACCCTGGCATAAAAATTATATGGACTGTATGCTCCGTTGGAAATAGATATTCGCAGCACAGCAGGGAATATTTAATGTAATGGATTGTCTGGGTGTACGGACGCGCGCGCGGTATGCAAGGAAAAGGGCAAGACCTCAGAAAGTTGCTGAGATCGATTCCCCCAAGCCGGAGCTCAGCTTGGGATTTATGTTGAACATCGCACCCTGGGCAGGCAAACTGATTGCAGGATAACCCTTACAGGGTACTAATTTTTCCAAGAACTCGGGTGTCGCAACACAATGCTTCGGCGTTTGTGGAGCGGTGCAATTGTACTTAAATCTACCGCTATGAAGGGCATTGGTTCCAAGGAGGCAGAGGAATATCGACGGAATACTACAAGTCTCAGACAGTCATCGTAGATGGAAAGGAGCAGGAAACGTACGAGACAGAGAGCTTGGATGCGGCAAACGTACACGCAAGAGGCTAAAGTTATATGCACCCGCGGGTGCGTCGCATGTGATCCACAGCTCCTCCCGACTTTCTCGATCCTGTGGCGAATCACCGCTCTTCGACTCGTTTCACTATTTTTCCCTTACACTGTTGAGGGGCAGATCCTTTCGAATAGTATTGCTGTGCAAGTAGAAAAGTGGTGGTGCACGCAAAAGTCTGGATGCATGTAAGAGTCTGGATGCACGGGCTGGATGCACGGGCAGATGCGTCGCATGCGATTCGCAGTTCCCAAGTCTGCCCCGAAGCACTGCTTTTCCGCAGGCATCACGCTTCCTGGATGCTTTCCTTCCATATAGTATGGTTCCATATATGGATCCTTAAGGCCATATCGAGGGCTTCCTTTGGGTACAGATTGAGCATATAATGCCTGCTCAGCTAGGTTCTTTCATAATTCGAGCTCGTTTCTGACAATGAGCTGATTCAGATGCATCTTCAACATCAGAAATCGAACACTTCCAACCTATGCTAAGACTCTCATCGCTCGCATCGTGCAGTGTTCTGTGCACGAGGGCAGTCATAAACGGAGATGATGCAGGGGGTTTTGTACTAGCTGGTCAACATTGTCCCTACCAAACGCCGTGGCCCAGTGGAAGCCTTTTTTGTGAAATATTTTAAGGATCCATACGGAAAATGGACTGATGAATCGTAATCCTCATGGGGGTGTCTTTACTCGTCGTCGCCGTCTCGTGGGTCTAAGTACCGCTGGTGACAGACTGTAATGCTGACAGTCTGTCCTTGCGGTCGGTCACGCGCGCACCTGTCAGAGTCGCGATCAGAAGAATAGGTCCTGCTTTAACGTGCGCGGTGGACACGTGTGCAGGTTTTTGAATACTTTGACTTACTTTTGGAAATTCGGTAGTTTTGTGAATAGGTTGACTCAGAGGTTCTTTTGACTCTCTGGTTTAGTCGGTTGAGGGGCGCCGGTTGTTAATCGGGTGCTGTGCCTGCCTCCCCCCTCTCCGCTGTTCTGCAACCGACTCTTTATAGAAATCTATATGGTTGCTACATCAGCCTAGACTACACTTAAAACATATATTTATAATAAAAACCCCACTAAACGGCCCCTTGTGACCATATCTTGTCTCCTCCTTCGTCTTGTCGTGGTCCTCTTCGCCCGCGGGATCCCATTAGGATCCTGCTGAGGCCGTCCGGATCGTCCTCGGGGACTCTTTCTTGTATAGAGTCCCCATTTATTGGCGAAGAGGACGACCTTACGGTTGAGGTGAGCACTGTAGGGACGTGTACTGTACTGTACACGTCACGTACCGTGCGTCATCGTCCCGCTCAGCTCTTGTTTATAGTGTAAATATTACTGTCAAACGCTGAGCGGGACCCTACCCTTACACCTGCGCGGTCATCCGCTCCGAGACGTCTGACCCTGGCCCGTCTCATTTTTGCCCCTGGTGTTGCGTCCATGACTCAGCTCGCCTGGTATGCCGTGTTGTAGCGCATTTTTATTCGTTTAAATATCATTGGTGCGCCACTGCCAACAGTGGACAAAGCATGATGGAATCGCTACGGGAAATACCTGTCACTGTAAGTCCAGTTATGCTTGTGACCACGTCTTTCCAAAACTTGCACGGACGTTTATAGTTTCGCCTAAAATTTCCGCAAACGTTTTGGCAATGGTTTGCCGATTCTTTTCGGTTTTGTGAAAAAGTGGCTCAGTTGGAAGATATCATTACAGGTAATCGAGCTCTTTACAAATTGCTGACGAATGTTTCTGAGTTTCGCAGAAAAAGTTGCTCAAACTTTCGGCAGCACTTTGGGAACCTTTGAAACTTCAGAAACATTCAGCAACCTTTTCAAAGATACCGGATCGCATTACAGCTCCGATCGAGGGTGAATAGAAATATTCCATCATTGAGGCCTTGCTTGCAGGATCCAACAAGGTCCACCACCGGGACCAATGGGAGTGCCGTTTGAGGCGAATATCAGAAAAATCAATTGTCAACCAGGATTTTACGGAGCCATGAGCCCTGGTAGTTGGAACCAAAGTTGTATGGCTCTGAGTCACAGGCTCTGGTGCCAGGGCCATTATTGGGACGTATTCTCCTGAATGCGACTCTGTCAGCGTCTGATGAAGAGAGTTGCGGTCCGTCAGTCCCGGGGGACGCTGAGCGGTGCGCGTGAAGGTTGTGCCGGGGTGCGCTTTCGGGTCTGGGCTGCGGGGTTCATGTGGTTGGATGATTTTGCAGATTTCTTGAAATCAGATGGGTCCGAGAGCTTTCGTGAAGAGGTCTTCTGGGTTGCCCGCGGATGGGATGTGTTGCGCGGTGATAGCGGTGCCTTGGATGTGATGTTGAAGGTGGTGGTGCCTGACACCGATGAGCTTCCTCCTGCGCGTGGGTGCGGAATTTTCGGCGACTTGTATAGTCGATTGGTTGTCGATGAATACTGTCGTGGGGTGCTGTTGTGGGTGATTCATGTCCCGAAGCAGCCGACGAAGCCATAGCGTCTGCTGGGCGGCGAGCGAGGCGGCGATGTATTCAGCCTCGCAGGTTGACAGGGCTACGACGTCTTGTGGCGCCGATGTCCAGGCTATCGGGGAGTGGCCGATAGTGTGTATGATGCCCGTGAGCGACTTGCGGCTTTTGGCACTTGCATAATCTCCGTCACTGTATGTGCGCAGACATTTCTGGGCTCGAGCGTGATACGAGATGGCCTTGCTCTTGGTGCCCTTGAGATACCGGAGGAGCCATTTGAGCGCGTGTCAATTTGCTTGGCTCGGTTGCTTGCTGTGTCGCGTCAGCTGGTTGGTGGTGTGGTATGCGTCGTAGCGGGTGCTGTCGACGACATACCGGAGGTATCCTAGAATGGAGCGGTAGTGGGTGGCCAAAGTAGGGGATAGGGGCGCCGTTTGGTTCTCTACGTTCTTGTTTGGCTTTTGCGGCGCGGGGGTTGTTTTTGGATTGCATTCCGACATGTCGTGTTTTGCAAGTATCGTGCTTATGGTCTGTTCTTGCCAGATGTGGATGCTGCCTTGTGCGTCGCGTGTTATTTGCCATCCGAGGTACATATGGGGGAATCCGAGATTTTTGATGTTGTACTTTTGCTTGAGGGCGGTGAGTAGTTCATCGATGAGTGCTTGGTTTGAAGCGGTGACGAGGAAGTCGTCCATGCTGACAGCCAACAGCAGTGTGTCCGTTGTGTGTGTTTTGGTGAATAAGCATGGGTCGCTGTCGCATTGCTGATAGCCTTGCTTGATGAGATGTTTCTGAAGGCCGGCGGTGTAACGGTGGCCGGCGGATCGGCCCCATATAGGTTGCCTACTAGTTGTCCCGCTTTGGTGCCGTGCTTGAGGTTACCGTTGAATCGGGGGAGCTGTCTCACATGGACGGGGAAGCGGGGGTCATGTGTCTCGTGTAGGTAGGCGGCCGTGATGTCCATGTACTATAAAGGCCATCTGTGTGATGCGGCGATTGCTAGGACTGTGCGCACTGACGTTTTCTCTGCCATGAACGTGGACGTTTTTTTAGGGTCGAAGTGTTTGCCTGGCTGCATGCGGTCGCCTCGTATGGAACAGCGTGCCTTTCGTTGTGCAAATTTTCCTGTCGGTGTGCGTTTGTATCTGTACGTCATTGTGAGGGGTATGAGTTTTTCGTGCGGGGGCACGTCTGATGGCGGTGTCCATTTTATCGTGGTCTGTTGGTCCAGCATGTCTAATTCAGCGTTGTGTGCGGTCTCCCATTCTGCCGCGTCCGGGTACTGCCGTGCTGCGTGGGCATGGCGTGGTGCTGGTGTGGTTCGGTCGATAGTGCGTGGTGGTGGTATGTATCGGTGCTTGTTGTTGCTTTGTGCTCGCGGTTTGGGTCTTGTCAGTTTGGTTTTGAATGCGTGCGTTGACGTGTGTGTGGAATCCCGGTGTCGTGAGTATGGTTTGAAGTCGATCGCTCGGATGACCCTGTATCGCGCACTGTTTATTGTTATGGTCATGATGTGCGTTTCCGATGTTGGGAACATGTATCGGACGGGTTCGCTGCGAGCTTGGAGTTTGGTTTTGTGTGCGTGAATTGGTGCCGTTCCGACTTGCCCGAAGGCGAAGATGCGTGTCATGCGCGCTGGTCTGCCGTGCCAGAGGCTCCACGGACTTTTTTTGGTGGCACTGTGTCTCATTATGTTGTACTTGAAGACAACATCGCGTACTGTGTCCTCCCAAAATTGGGGTGGTAGTGATGCGTGATGAAGTGCTGCTCTGGCACTTGTGAACAGCGTTTTGTTGATTTTTTCGGCAATAGAATTTTTCTTGTGGCTGGTGGGGGGTGTTGGTTATGTTCTGTATGCCGTGGGATTGATATGTGCTTTTT